GAAAAATTAAAATAAAACTTTAGCTTATAAAAATCAATATTCGAAATTTTTGCATATAAACAAGTGTTTTTCTAGAAAACCTAAATACATGTACATCTTAGATTGTTCATGTGTATCTTATTCTTTTGGTCGTTAAGTCAACTCTTATGGATTTGTAATAATGGATAAACATAGTATGCCTATAATGTAAAAATTGGTGCAATAGTTTGTGAAGTATTCGTAAATGGATGTCATTCATCGTAAATATAATTTCCCTGGAACAGTACCTTGACGTATATTCCGATACATTTAAATCAAGTGTATAAAATGAAAAATCGAAAAATGTAGAGGTATAGAAATGTGAAAACAAACGACAAAAATGGCTAACGATAAGATGGCAAGAAGAATGCGGAAACTGCAAAAGACATCGGGTAATCCGATAGTGTGTTAGTTGGTCTTTATGAAGGCAGATCGCCGTCAAGTATTTTACGGAGTTTTAGCTTACCTGCAAAGACAAAGATTCGAACACGGAGTGAAATAACCCTCTAGAGTTGTCTTGAAATATTTTAAGGGTTTAAGTGCATGTAAGCGTTTTAAATACAATACAAAGAATAGATTTAGTGAGGGGAAAATATTCTAACATTACGCTTTTAGTTTGGTGATGTAATCTTTTCACTTATGTCTCTTAACTTAACGAAGAAAGTAAGTTTAAATTTATTATGATGTCACATTGAATCTAGAACCAAAAAAAAACTGTCTACCTGGTAATCTCATTTACTAGATTTTAACTGTTTAAACTGTGAAGACAGCCAATAACTAGCACACAAGCAAACTAACAAAACAATATATCTATTTCTGTTTGAAACAGAATAAAATATGGTTATATATACAATGTAATATGGTCTCTGGGCTGTTACATTATTAACTTTAAATTACAAAATAGAAAAATGCATATCAATTAATTATAAAATAGTTAATAATTAATATTTTATATTAAAACATCATCAATAATTATATATCAAATTGAATATACAGTGAAAACTGTCTTATCCGACACCTGTGCAATCCGTCACACTGTAAATTCCGACGTAAAATTTCTTTCCCATCTTACTAATTTTCATATTTTCTACATTGTGCAATCCGACACCCTGTCAATTCCGACACAAAATTCGTCTCCCAGAGCATGTCAGATTAGACAGGTTTCACTCTACTTTATGATTTTAATTTTAATCAATATTTCATTTTTGTTTAAAATTAAAGAGGGGAAGTGTGAATGTATGAGAGGATGTAAACAAAACACTTCATTAGGTCACTTGATACGTTATTCCTTGAAAAAAAAAAACTACTACATGAATGATTTGATAAAGCCTCATCATATAGATTAACATATTTCAAATATGTTACACCAACACATCTTTTAATATTTTTAACATACTCAATGTTAACAATGAATGTTTTAATTCTTTTTAAAAAGACAATGATATCAGATAATCATTTATTTCTGAAAAATGTATAGGAATTTTGGTTGAAAAAAATAGATAATAGTAGACTAACTAAATCAGGGAACAAGCTAGGAATCCAGGACAGGAAGGAGTGTTAGGAGCAAACATCCGAGGGTTTATGACTGTACCAAAAACGAATCAGACAAAATATGGCAAATCTATAAAGTTTTATGTACCTAAGATGAATTAAAGAGGTAGATAGTTATTTAATGCTCAAGATTATGGAGGTTCGCAGATCTTAGATGATCTTTATTCGATGTGTTTCGTCAACAAATGACCTTTATTTTGTAATTAAATTGCAACATATCGGTTTAAGAAGGCGAGATGAAAAGAAGTTTGAACAGCTGTTTGACATGAAAAAGTCCGAATCTGAACACTAATTCGACTGTATTGAATAGTAAGTGCACTATTTAATTTTTTTCCTCTAATAGAGCATGATCTTTAGCATTGCAGCTAGTTAGGTTGTGGATCTTTTTTTTTCAAATAAAAAGTTAACATTTGTGGAACTGCACTCTATGGGAACGACACAACTGCCTTTTGATATTTAAAAAACGTAACTGAGATATCTTCAGCTTTTAGATTTTCAATGAAGGTGGAAAAAATGAACAATTTACAAGATCAGTTTTGTCATATAATTATATAGCAACAACTCGCTGTAAGTGTTTGTGAAAGATACGCATAACAATAGCATCGAGATAGGGAACCTAACCGTATTTATCGATTGCTCAGTCTGGTGAGGTCTGGTATCCTGTTCCATGATTAGGATTAATTGGGATTAATTCCCACATTCTGACGAGAGATAGGCTCGGGCGGTAAAGAGATAATAGCTGGGCTCGAAGCTAACTTTCCATTCTATCTACTGTACTGTCTTATTAATGGCCGAAATAGCTCATAGTAGATACGATCGTCTTTTCCTTTATAATGGTACTTAATCTTTATTATATACGCTCATTTGAGCAATGTTTAACGTGAAGGTATAATGACGGGACAATATACATATAGAATTTCCCATAAAGTAAACAGAAAGAGCTTTTATTCCCTTAAAATAAATGTTTAAAGTTTGGGTGAACTTTGATATTTCAAATAGAATCTTTCTTTGAATTTAACAGTTGGTTTTACCCATCACTGTATTCTTCTCCTGCTGAGCAATTATCTACTCCATGCGTTCTGTTCCGTGTCTGCTATATCGGGGAAATATCACCGAGTGTTAGAAATGGATGCTTTTTAAATATAGGATTTGTTTTTGTCATACTTTAGGGAGGAGAATAACTTTTCGGTTTTCTCGGTGAACAAGAGATTAGACTATCTTTGTACGACGTCTAGGCTTCATCAAATATATTTTCAACCTCTAAATTTATTTCTGTCGTAATATTTACATATTATTGTGTTGCTTGATTATTATTAACTTGTCTGTTCTATAATTCCATGGAAATGTAGATATAAAGGGAAGAGTATGATCAAGTTATGTTCAATTGTGATCAAGTTATAAAATCTGTTAAAGGAACTATTTTTACACCAGATATAAGTACTTATGTCAGAAATTGAACAGTCACCACACTGGTTTTTAATATTGTTTTGTTTTGTTGTCTCCGTGGAATTGTTACTCATTTTTACACACTGAATTGTCTACGGATTTTTCCGTTTTTCCCGATCAGGCACCTGACAAGGAGCAAACGGCAGGTGTAACCGGTCGGCAGGAGATGCTCACTCCTCCATGGCATCTGATCCAGCCTCCGATGTTTTAAGAGGTCTGTTTTGCTCTGCTCCCGATTTGTATAGTTTAAATGGACTATGAGCTTGAATACTGTTCGTTATCTCCATATTTCATTCCAAAGTAGCCCTACTTAATATTTTTATGAATTATATGGTAAAGGCCTGGTCTTGGACAGTTTACTGGTAGTAGAGATTTATACTCCTTCGTGAATTTTCGGGTCAATGTCTTGGCAGCCTATCTATCAAGAATTATTTTTTCCATAATTTAACAAAGCTTTATGGACAAATTAACATGGTGCAAAGAGGGCATAAAGGTGTCCAGACAGGAATTTGATCAACGTTTTCCAGATAATCGATCAATCGCCAGGGGATCGGTTAACGCCATTTATCTACAGAGATGAAAATGAAACAAAAAGAACTAGCTCCCTTGTGTAAAACACCATTGGCTTTCAACAGAGCAGTAATAAGAAAGAATTTTGTGTAATAAGACACAAAGAACTTGTTTTCTTGATATTGTTTCCTGTCATAGACACTGAACCTTTTATTACAATTACTTAACAATATCTAATCAAAAATATTGGCATCTCATTAAATTCCAGTCTATTTATTTTCTCTAATATACTGTATTACGTATATTACTGTAAGTTAATTTATTAAGATATGCCACTGCCAATTACTCATGCGGCGTGGTGAAAAACCGCAATAATTCTATCTTGGATTAATCTTTTAATTTATTTTCTTATAGTTAACTTTAGAAAACTTATTTAAGAACAGGGGAAAGCAATTCATCTGAGGATATAAGCAAGATAATTCAATGATTTTAATTTAGCATTATCATTATAAAGGAAACATATTGCACAATAGAAGATAAAAAAATGTAATGTTTTCATTATTAGCGCTGTCATTTGAGAAATCAGTTTCTTCCATTTTTCAACTGAAAAATTTGTCTTTAAACGTGATTAAGGTGAAATATTCTAGTCCATGAAATAATATTACGATGAAAAAAGTCAATTGTTGATAGAAGGCGATCTATAAGTTTCACATTCCCTGACCTGGTAGAGCTTGGCCTCTATTCCAGCCTATTTCCTGTAACTCTATTTTACGGAACATTAACTACCAACAGAGTCCGAGGACCCGGACCGGTGAAGAAATCATAAATCGAACAATTCTGTGATTCCTAACTTCATTACGCACGCCTGACCTTCCAGCTGATCTGTCCTAAATGAGGGCATGGAAGGATTAGATCCCGATTATTGATTACTTAGAAATCTAAGAGGAATTATAGAATCAAATTATTACTTCTCATACTCAACAACCATGTTCGTATCACGAAAGAGTTTTCCTACATTTACATGGTTTGACCACCATTAAGAAGTACGTACGAGTCTAGACTGTCCTAGTGTTAACCTTCGTGAGCATAATTTTTCTTGCATTCAACAACTTGATTGATTTTTTCCTATCAATTTCCTTTGTATTATTTCATTATTCCTAAAATTACCTGAGAATCGAAACTGAATTCAGTCATTATTGACAGCATTTCAATAGTGCTTAAATTATATAGAGAAAAAAAAAACTGAAAAATTACCATTTGGACCATGTTCTATGATAAAATTAATTTCTATCATTCATCACTAAAGACTGCTTATGTTCCGAACAGATAACCTTGATAAAGGCCACTACTGACAGCAGCATGTTTTAAAAGATATAAAAGGCTATTAAGATTACAATATATTAATTAAAATTTAAACAAAAATAAACAGAAAACGACTTCCAAATATTATATCGACTTATTCTTCCAAAGCTTACCTGGAATGGAGATCAGGATAAAGATAGGAGAAAACCAGGCTATATCCTTGAAATGAATTGTGCACAAAACAAATGTTAGACATTTTCGGAAATATCGACGAAAATCCATTTTTTCCATAAAGTATTTGTTTGACATTTCTGATAAGTTCACTTTGGTAATGGTTTATTTCTATTTTAACCAAAGAACATTTTCCTAGAAGTCAAATGCTTCCAACAATACTAAGAATTCACATTTTCTATCGTGGATCGAGGAGTTATAGAACATCGATACTGTATTAAGGATTTGTAAATTGGTATTTTGTCCCCTAACACTGCTAAGTTAGTAATTCAATCAAGTTTCACACAGACTCTGTCACAGGGGTCTAAAACTTAGAACATAAAAACTCGGAATTATCATCCTGTCTCTGTGGTTGTTCTCATCTTAATTTGTCTCTCCTTGGGAAGCTCCCATTTAACGAACCTTGATTGGCACTGCCTAATTTAGGTATCAGGCTGCTTTCAGATGTTTGATGTTTCAATCAACAGACTACCAGTGTTTTAATTTTTTATGTCCTTCCCTGAGCGTGGTTCCAACACAACTGAGTTTTTGGCTCACATTTCACAGAACATAGCGAAGATAGCTGATGACATTAAAATGTACTGCCTATTGAAAATCCAATTTTCAATGAATTTAGTATGTTCCAATATTGAAATCTCCTGCTGCATTGGAGACTTGGCGTGTCATTGATCATCCTATGCAACGACGTCAGGATCAAACGTAAAGAATGCACAGTTCACAGTAATTAAGCTAATGATTCCCTCTGATAATCAAACTGATACTGAGACCAATTTCAATTTAGCTAAACAACCAAAGTCCATACAAAAAAACTCCATCTATATTCCGTTACGTTGCAATGGAAGCCAACCCGTCGAATGAAAGAACTTTGCAGGCATGTGCTTGGAACCAACCAATAACTTCGCACAGTATCGTCTTCACGGAGTTCGTATTCTCATGACGAAAACCTGTTATATCGAGTATCTAAATCTCGAAGGGGCCTAACATCAAACACGGACAATTGAAATATAATCACATATACCTGCGTAATTTATTAACTTTTCCCCCCTTTCTTCCGTTATTTGGAAGCCTCGGAAGTTCTATAGAGCCACTGATCACTGTAGATGAGATTAAGCTTGAAGCAGCTCTATAAGTAGAGAGGAATAAGGTGATAAGGGTATATGAAGAGCAAACAGCTTTATCTATATCGTTCAATTGCTGTTATATATAAAAGATTTATTGATAAGTGGATAGTGCTTTCCACTTCTTTGTTGGTTAAGTGTCAATGTTAACACTCTTACTTGTGACGATAACAGCTTTTCTGCATTACGAAAATTCTCGACACCACAAAATGGCCACTTTAGTGTGTCGTCGCGTATGGTAAAAAAAATCGAATGTTCGAAATTTTACCTGCAGATTGTTTGCTGAAATCTGAGAAAATGTTTTAATTCAAGCATGATTATTTGTCTGCTTATTTCACATGTTAATTATAAATATTTGTTGTTTTTTAAAATATAATTTACAAAAAACACCTTAAAGTATTAAAATGAGAAATTCAGAATATGACAAAAATATATTTTTGTATTATAATATTACCATTTTTCTCTTCTTACTTGATTTTGACTTATTTGATAGTATCACGCAGATGTATTCAGAAAATGAATAAATTTTATTAGGGCTTTAGACTTTAAACTCATCTTGTACTTCCCTTTGTGTATTTTGCAAAGAGGTAGGGGAGTGTCAAATGCATGTGCCAGCATATGCCATTTTAATTTTGCCCAGATAATGTAGAAATTAACATGTCGATGTTATTGTGGGCAGGACCGTTCCTCAACGATACAACTAACCCACCCCACTCCTTTTATGATTTTTATAAATATATATGAGTAACAAGTGCCTGTGGAAATGAATAGAAGGTATTCTTTATATGGACACAGTAACCTACATGAATGCATTCCATTATTTTTGGGTTAAATACATGCAGCCACCTATCTGTATTATTTCCGCTGATACAATGAACTACCTTATTTCTTTAGCTGGATACAATAACCTATCTGTATTACTGATTGGATGGATACAACAACCATTATGTTTTTTTCGGATGGATACAAAAATTTGTATTTTGGGGGTGGACACAATGATTTACCTGTATTTATTTATGAAATGTGGAGATAACGAACAATACGAAACATTTATATGTGGATTCAAAAATCTATATTTTTTGGTGGACGCAATAATTTACCTGTTTTCTTTAGATAGATACAATGTCCTACCTGTATTTCTTTGGTGTATACAATAATGCAGTTATGTTCAAAGAGGGATACGTTAACCAAACTGTAAATATTCTTATGGTGGAGATAATTTATGAAGATAACGAACTGTAATCACTCTCAAAAGTCTATTGAAACAATACAAAATTAATTGTGAGTATGGCAAACCCTCTTTAAACCTCTAAAAACATCAGAGGTGGGATCTAAACAAATACTTTCAGGAATGATAACCTAAACATAATTGTATTTCATGGGTGCATAGAATGACCTATACTTGTATTCCTCTGACCGATACAACCGTATATCGCATTCTTTGTAGCAAGACCCATTGTTACAGTACAACTTTTCGGACAGGACAATCACAAGGTTTTCAAGAGGTGGACAATATAGTGATACAGGTATAAATAAGCTGTATTAATTAGCTGGGAGCATAAGGATGGTGCAATTAATTCTTTAACTCAGCATATTTCAATAATTAACGAATTTCATTTTGGATAATTCATTTTTTGCGTGTGTATCATCAGTAATTAGTAGCTCTGGTGTGGGAGGTGAGGTGATATTTGTGGGATGACGAAGGAGTCAATCATTCAGGAAAATTCGAACGATTACCCTGGAAACACTAATCAAGATCAATCGCATTCTCATTTGATTTAATGAATTTGACAGAGACAAGGGGTGTTTTCAACTTATTCCCAGACTTAGCATTAGAGACACTCTTAAAGACCTAATCAAGCGTATGAAATATTGATACAGTCTTACAAGAAATATAACAGAAAACATGGTGTCTTTATAAACATGTAGTCTTGACTGGTTATGTTTGGTGTCTTTTCGACTTATAAATTAGTTCCTAATCAAAATTACAGATATCTGTAATTAAAAGGAAGTGACACCAGACAAAGAATCACTGATTCTTAATCCACGCCTGGTCTTCCTACACCTTACGGAATACTCAATGTCCCTTGAAGCCAGTAACGAGAACCTATGTGTTATGTCTGCGACGTTAAGGAGACTTATCAATATTGAAGATCGGGAGAAGGTGGCATAAATAGGTTTTAATCAGGCGAACAATGTCTAATATACTACAGTATGTACGAAATCATAAAGAGAAGAAAAAAAATAACATCCGATGGCAAAGCCTTATCTTTCTCCAGGATGTAGCAGACACCGAAGATATCACCAATGCAATGTGTTAGACAGGCCTAGATTAGAAAATACAGATTCCCTTTATATAAATATGTGACATATCGGAATAGTTTATTGAATATAAAAATATATCAATGCAGTTTATTTCAAATCTATAATGAAAGAAACATTATCCTCTTCATTTATTTCATCTTCGTATTTAATATTTCCTCAGCTCTGAAATATAAAGGATAAAATCCAATCATCAAATGCTGAAGCTTTGATATTAGGTGTGTGTTATATTTCAGCGTATATATTTCATAAGAATATTTAACGTGTACCAAATGATACACAAACTTATTTTTAATGATCACTTAATTGATGTATTCATATTATTCATAATTTTTCTTTAATAAAATTTGAAGATAACAAACATCAGGCTCAGAAGTCCAAAGAAATGATACAGATGTGGAGCAGAGGAAACACGAATCTTTAAACACATCAGAGGTGGGATCAGGTGACATGGAAAATTTATTTCAAAATTAAGGATTATCTCCCTAATGCATAGCTCTGATCCTTCGACGTATTTGGCTCCAGTCTTTGGCACCTTTTTTCAGCTCTTCAAAGTGTTTTTATTCAAGTGTTTTTGAATTTCCAATGTTTCGGCATGAGCATCACTGAAGAGACATAATATGTCGAAATGCGCATCTGGTCATCAAAATTGGTACCGTACACGATTTACATGGAGGAGTAAATGAAAAAAAGTGAAGATAATGAACAATAATCGATCTCAAAAATCTATAAACAACAGAAATCTGTAAAGATAGCATAAAACACGAACCCCTGGAAATTCCAGCGGTTAGATCAGGTGCCAAGTAGGAGTAACAAAGTCATTATAACGACAATAGAATTTACGAAATGCTGACTTTAAACGAGGGTGTTGAAATCCCTTGACATCAACTTATCTGTCAGTAGCCTGCCTTTAATAGTTTAAAAATTGATCGTACTCGGAGCATGCTCTTGACTATCGAATAAGTTGGGAAATGTAAACACCATAAGCAGGTAATAGTAGAATATGGAGAGTTGACGATCGAAAAGCTAAGTCATCTTCATTGTCATAAAATTTAGTTGTTAGTTGGCCCTTATCGTTTATAGTCTGTAAAACAATAAAATATGAAACAGATGTCTCAGACTCTGCGATGTGTTTTATTTCAAGTTGTTGATATCTCCAAAAGTCGAGTTGAAGACCACAGCAAGTGTTTTCTTCTTCTCATGTAATAGTTTTTGAATACATTCAGCTTTACATAAATATAGAAACAGATCAGCTAATAAAGGAGCACATTTACTGCCCTTCAGAATTCCAAATGTTTGTTTGAAGACCTGGTCTCCGAAGACTACATAAATGTTGTCAATGACGAAGTCCAACATCCTTTAATATCAATTTCAGAGTACTTGTGTGTAAAATCAGACTGATTTTTAACAAAGCAGTTTTTTTGATCGCCAATCGCAAAGTACGAAAATTTCCGAATTACATTTTTATTGCAGAAGCAGTTGTCTATGATATCAAAAAGCCTAGTTTGTAATTTATTGTAAGTAATGGTTGTATAATGTGTAGGAAAGTCATACGTTTTGATATTACTGACTTTTGAAAATTTTGACGATTTTGAATTTTCTACAAGTTCTCTGGAGATTTTGAGAAACCACATCTGGTGTTTTCACCACTTTTAGAATATGTTATATATTGCACAGTACCTTTACAGCGGTTAATATTTTTGTAAGGAGTAAAGATAGGGGCTTGTTAGAGCATTTTCTGGACCCGGTAATGTATCTTTTTGTAACGATTTTTATGAAGTTTAGGAATCCATTATAGATAGGATAGATCGAACTCACCTTGCTTGACTGGAATGGTACAGGTATTTAACACTGAAATGTGATTTTGAAGAATTTCATCTTTAGAAAGTGAACTGCGAGTTCAAGTTGGATTTCCAGAAAACAAGTTCTACAAAGAAAGTTATAATAACTAGCCTTGCAAACAAAGACGAAATTGTTACATGCCTTGTCGGCTGGAACCACTACATAATGTTTATGTAGTCTTTCTAATTCTTTTATATCCTCCGAATTAGTGAAAACGGAAGCAATAGATGATTCGCATATTGCTTTTTAAATTTGTAATACACGATTCCTTAATTAGTAAGTTTTACCTGTCGACCGGTCACACCCGCCGTGTGCTCCTTGTCAAAATCGATCAAACGGAAAATCCGTAGACAATTCAGTGTAGAAATAATGGGCTAACAATTTGTATGAAAAAAAAAAATATCAGTGAATATTCGTCTTGATAATAGATTGTATTCTCTAAATAATCTTTTCGGTAGTAATTGCTTTCTTATATGTTCGGTTTCACCACCTTTGGTGAAACTTTCTTCGGTAAGGGATTACAGCATGTGTGACCTCTCAACAACGGATGCTTACTCCTCCTTGGTACCTGATCCTATGTCTGGTGTTTCCAGGGGTCTTCGTTTTAGTATTTATATATGAGACTGATTTCCACCTTTTTTTTCTTTACTACGCATTAGCTTTCACATTGTGAAAACTTAAGTCGTTAAATCCTAATCATTGCTCAATAAAGAAAATTGGGACCAATAAGTTTAAATGGAGTTATATGTATGATTATATAGAAAATGTTTTTTTTTTCTCAAGAAGAGGAGGACTTAATTGTGCAAAACTTCATTTTCTGAAGAAACT